CTCCTCCTCCTCCTCCTCCTCCTCCTCCTCCTCCTTCCTTATCATCACAACTCAAGTATCCCTCATGCTTATCTCCCTATCCCTTCCGCCAGAGCTCCCTGTGTGACACCACAACAATAACCCCATAGTGCTGCTGCTGTCCATGGGGTTGTGTGTGCCCTCCTCCTCTCCTTCTTTTCCTTCCTTTCTGGGTTTTACTGCCGAGTGAAAATAATATTTTTTTATTCCTGCTGCTTCTTTTGGTGTGCATAAGTGTTAAGTCGCAGTCCCCCAGCATTCGAGCATGCCTCCATTGTTTCAATTTTTCAAATCGTCTACGTTGATGATATGATCACACGGCCAGTATTCACCCGAACTTGCCTGCAGGGAAGCACTGTCTGAGTTAGGCTTAAAGTTTTATGTAATTAATTGAAAAATTGAAATGCGAAACCAGAATCTGTTTTTTCTCCAAAAAAAAAATTAAAAAAAAAAGGCCGAGTACAAACACAAGCACAACGTGATCATATACATATTGATTTTTATTTATTTATTTAATTTGTTTTTTAACAGAACACCTGCGAGGATCAGGGTCCTCGGTAGGCCATTGGGGCCCTGTTTGCAGCCTTACCCGCCCTAAGTGAAGGCGGAGGTGCCCGCCCTAAGTGAAGGCGGGCCTGGCTTTTTGCAAGAGGCCCTCGACTGTCAATTTCATATTTGGGGTCCAGGCAGTTGCGACGCGCCAGTTGGTTGAAAGAAACACAGGCCGAGYACCRAAGACATTTCCACGGCCTGCCGGGCCTTTCCAAAGAATGCAGGCCCTGGGCGTGATTCGCAGCCTCATACAGAGACAGTTGGGCGCCCAACCGAACGAGGCCCAGCAGCCCAGTAGCTGCTGCATCCAGGCAGCCACCTGGGGCCTTCTGGAAGCTTCTGGGCCCAGGCCAGCCCAGCCAGGCTGCGAGAGCTGGCCAGCTCTTTTCCATAAAGGAAAGAGCTCTGGCCAGGCAGCCTCATTCAGGCACTCGCATGCTGGCGGCAGCGCTGCTGGAGCTCATGCTCGTAGGCTGCTGCTAGCGCTGAGAGGCGAGGTGCAGCACGTGCGGTCGTGCAGAGGAGGAGGGCGCTGCTGAGGGCAGCGCCATAGCCCTCTTGTGAGGGCACGTACCTTGTATTGGCGATGGTCTGCATGGGCGACATCTTCAAGTACTTTGGGCTGCCGCTGATGTCAACAGTTGCATTGTCTTTTTGTAGTCTGTAGTAGCTGTGTAGGAGTAGGCTGGGCGCTGAGCGCCAAGTGTGAGTGTGAAGGAACTGGACTCTTGTGTTGGGAGGAGAGAGTATGCTCTCCATGAACATTGGTTTTCAGTGCTACGAACCTCCATTGGTGTATTATTGGTGCAATGCTGCTCTCTGGACACAGTGTGACTATTTGGCTTTCAATGTGATGGTGTGATCTGGAATTGTCATCTCGCTGGTACTTATTTATCTTGCACACCTCTCAGCCCGTTCTATGCTGTGCTATTTTTACTTATCTATTTTAACACAACACCACTCAGCCCGTTCTATTCTTTTTTTTTCTTTTTTCTTTTTTCTTTCTTTTTTTTGGGGGGGGGGAGGGCTGTCTCTTATACACATCTAGATGTGTATAAGAGACAGGTTCAATTGTGGGGGTGCTCCTCTCTTCTCCAGAATAGAAAGCTACTGTGTTCCCCCAAGCACAATGCACCCTCATCATGACAATGTACGACAGGGAAGATACCCTGTATACGTTCATGATTAGGGTGCATTCCGTACGGGGGAACAAGGGTAGCGCAGAGATGTTTTCTCAGGGGGGGGGGGGGGAAGGGTCGGACTTGAAAGAGGGGCTCACTTTCCCCGGCCAGCGGCCTTGATGGGTGGCATGCCCTTTCTAAAGGAGTCAGACTTAAAAGAGGGGCTCGCATTGAGATTTGAAATGGGGTCGTGAATCTGCGCCAAGAGGGCATGGAGATTGCCCCCCTTTCTGCGCAGGGCGGCTATCTCTGTCTTCAACGATTCTATCTCTGCAGCTTGAGCATGAACGATGTGTAAGAGCTTGTCCCTCTCTTCCTGCTCCTTCTTGAAAGTGAGTGAAGGGTCCTTCATCAGAGTGGTTTGGGTTGCGTTGAGCACACTCTCCAGCGATCTCTGCAGTTGTGTCAGATCTGCCGCCTTTTCCAGGCAGGCAGTGTTCTCTTGGGTCAGCTTGGCCAACTGCTCCCCTGCATCATGAATTCTCTGGTTCCAGTGAGCTATCTCCTTGGCATGCTGGGCGCTTTGCTTTGTCAGCTCATCCTTGAGCTCATCCGAGCCTTTCTGACAGTTGACGCGGTCCAGCAATTCGAGGTCAATCACTTGACCAAACTTCAGCATCTGGACGTCGTGAGCTCGAGCCTCAAGTTCTCCTATCCGAGCTTGTTTTGCTTTCCTGTCTTTGAGCAGCGAGGCCTGGTACCGCTTCAGATCGCGCTGCTGTTTCCTAAGCTCGGCTTTCTCGGTGATAAGCTCACGAATCCTCTCTTTGAGGCCTTGCAGAGCCGTGGTGGAGAACACCAGAGCATGGGTCAGATCGGAGGGCAGCACGCCATCCACTAAGTACTCAATCTGGTGCATCTTCAACGTAACCACCACGTCAATCTGATTGAGAGCGGACTGTTTCTCCTTCTCGAAGTCCTCCATCTCTTTCTCCACCCCCTTAACTGCTGCTTCAATGTTCTTCTGCTTCTTGTGTAGTCCCTCTCTCTCCTTCTTCAGCGTGTCCAGCGTCTTCTGGATCTCGTTGATCAGTTCGTCTTGGTCCAGTTTCCGCTCCCTCAGCTCGCAAACTTTCTCGTAAAGACCGGAGTCACAGCCCGGCGGACATACCTCTTCTTCATCGTCATCGTCGTCCATGTCCTCGTCTCCTCTACCTTCGTCAACATCGTCAAGATCGTCGGAATCTTCCGAGTCGTCGTCCGCGTTGTCGGTGTTGCTTCTCTGCTTCTTCTTGCTCCTCTTGATTCTCCTGTAGAAGATTTTGGACAGCTGCTCTCTGAAAGGATGGTTGGCATCAACGACAGCATCGAAGTTGGCGACGACAGCTTGCTTCCTCTCTGACTGCTTGTCGAAGATCTGTTTCTTATTCTCGATCTTCTCTTCGTTATCAGCCAGCTTCAGCATAATGTCCGACCGCTCAGCCACCTTGGCGCTGTATTTGGACTGCAGTTGAGCATCTTGCTTGCCAAACTCTTTGAGGAGAGCAAGTTCCCGGTAGTACACAAGCATTCTCAGATCAGCGTTCTTCAAGTCTGCTTCCAATCGGAACTTCCTTCGCCGTAGATCTTCCAGGGCTTCGTCAAAGGCGTTGACCACAGTGTTGACTCTCTCCTGCAACTTTGACTTCTCGTGTTTCAGCCGTCGGTTGACCATCTCCTGTTCCACGAACTCGAGCTCGGACATCTGCAGGTTCTCTTGGCCTTTCCACCAGATCTCCTGCTCGTCCCTTCGTGTGGTCCCAGATGGGACCATCACCGTCACGTTTTTCACCAGATGCCAGGGCCTTGCTGCAGTATGCGGTTGGGAGTCGGTTCCACTTGCAGGTGCGGGACTGGTCCGCCCCCCTCCTGCAACAGAACCATCGCCAGCCGACGTCAAGGTTGCTGCCGACGCCTTCTCCCAGGCCCCAGCTCCGGCAGGGAAAGTGCCGACCGTTGGGGACGAGGGCCCCGCTTTGCCCAGGGTCATCTTGCCAATAGATCCCCCCAGGAGGACACTCGGTGGTTCTTCTTCCATGTCCTCCTCTTCCCCTCCTCCACCCCCTCCCGTTGTCGGTGATTGCGCAGATGCCATGGCTGTCGAGAACCCTCCCAAGAGAGAAGCTCCTTTCCCCTTCTTCCCATCCTTTCCGGCTTTTCTCTGTTCCTTGTTGAAGGCTATCAGGTCTTCCCTGGTAACAATGTCCCTTCGCTCTGGGTACTCGTCCGGGTATGTCTGAGGCTTCAGCAACGACTGGTTCGCTGACTCCATCTTAAGGTATATATTGATCTCTGTGATCCTGGCATTGTCCTTACTGATGCTCTCCACCACTTTGGCTTTCACATCTCGCAGTGCCAACAACTTCTTGTTGAAGTCCATCTTGTGTGAGTGTATGGCCTCTTGAAGAAGGACCATTTGCTGCCATTTCCTGACTGCATTCTCCCGCTTGTGTTCCGGCAGGATGTAATTGGAATCAGATTTAAGTTTGAAGTCCCCCATGTGGGTCCTGGCCCATTCCATGGAAGCCACGTCGTCCGGATTCTGGTAGTCGTCGGACGGCTTCGTTTTCATGAAGGCTGCCCACTCCTCCTGACGTTTCTCCCGCTGCAGCCGGCGCTGCTCCTGCTTGGACAACTTGGGCCCGGCGCTTGGTGGACGTGGACTTTTATGTTGTTCCTCTGGAGAGTGCAACTGATTGCTTCTCGAAGGGGGTGGAGACGTGTCCCTCTCCTCCACATTAGTAGGGTTGGAAGTAGGAGAAGAAGAGTTAGCAGGGTTGGTAGGAGAGGGGGAGGGCTCCTGAGTAGCGGCTTCCCCTGCATGAGCGCGTGGTTGAGGCAGGATAATGCTTGAGAAGAAAGTGCGGGTGACCAACTCACGTGCTTTCTTCTCCTCCTCCTCACGAATCTCTCTCTGCCTTTCTTCCTCCTCCAACATCTTATGAGCATTCTCGATGCTCTCAAGCATCTGAGCCGACAACTTAGCTGTTCGAAATGTGGTCACATTCCTCTTGCTCATGAACGCTCGAAGAACCACCCGTTCCACCTCCACATCATCCAGGAACCATCGTCGAAGCTTCGCCAAAGCTATGCTCTTCTTCTCACTCTCCCACTGCAGCTCCTTCTCTGCCATTGCGATCTTCTCTTGCGTCTGTGTCTCTATCAACCCTCGCAAGCCGGAGTCAATATCAAACTCCTCGGGGGGTAGCTGTTCCCTGGGAGGTTTGGACATATTCTCTTCAATCAGCTGTGCGAATTCCTCGCGGAGCTTGGCCAGCTGCTCTCTCACCGAGGCCTTCTTCAAGTTTGCTGCTGCTATCAGGTTATCATGCTCTTTCTTCTGCTTGCTATCCTCCATGCTATATTCCGTTACACTGACTATATCCTCCATGGCATCCGTGTACACGGGCAGCCCTTCAGCTGCAGGTGGAGCAACGGTAGTGCTCCTCAGCAAAGTCCCTGTCTCCCCTTCCCTCTGCATCGTCCCGTCCAGAGTCAGAGAATGGACAAAGAAGCTGCCATCGCTGGCCACACTGAGCAGGAAGGTGTCATCGAAACTGGTCGCCACTCCATTTACAGTGCCAGAGAAACCGTCGTGTAAACACTTCTCCCACAAGTGGAGCTCTGGTTGTGGTTGAATCCATGGAGCATACTCAAGCCTAACCACGCCGTCCTCATACCCCGTCAGCAAGAAACGAATAGAGCGAGTGAGCCTGAGGGAGGACACAGCCGAAGCAGAGTGCAATGGTACCGTAGCAATCACGTTGCCGTTCTCTGTATTGCATTCGTACAGAACCCCCTTCGCTCTACCCCCCAGGGTAAGGTAGAATGACTTCCCGCTAGATCGAGGTTTAAAAAGGATGGCCCTCACGGGAAAAGGCACTTTATCCTCGTTTTCCTCCCCCTCCTCCTTGCTTACCTCCCCCTTTGCGGGCCCAGTTCCCCCCCCCTTCGTGGTGCTGTCTCTTCGACCACCACCCTTGGGTTGTTCATCCCCCGCTGGCTTGTCTCGTAAAGAGCTTCGCCGCTTCTGGGAATGACTTCCGGCGGCCTCCTTATTTTCGTTGGTGTCACCAGGGGCATCAGGCTGCAGCTGGGAATCACCATCCTTTCCTCCACCCTGCTCTGAGACAGAGCCAGCCCGGCTGCGTGGACCACCCTTACCCGCAGGTGGTGCTTTGCTGCCATCCGTAAGCAACTCCAACGAAGCTCGTCTGCTCCCCCTGGACTCCGCCGGAGGTTCATCTCCAGTTTTTCCCTCCTGACCGTCGCCTGTCGGTTCTTCACCTTCCAATCCAGCAGCCTCCGTTTCCTCCCCTTCATTCTCTCCTCCTCCTACTCCTACTCCTACTGTCGGTTTGCCGGGCACGGCCCCACCATCAGCAGCACCTCCACCAGCAGCAACACCATCACCAGCTGCACTGCCGGCAGAGCTGGAAGGCTCATCAGCAGCCGGCCTCGAAGAAGCTGGGTGCCCTGGCTGCTTCCTTTGCCGTCTCTGTTTCTTCTTGGGCGCCGCAATCACCGGCCTTTTGAAGTCGATCACACGCGTGGTTATGTCTAATCGGAACGTCTTCGTTGTGTCCACGAGCGCATTGGGTCGGGACATCTCGAACACGGAGCCATCAACACAACCGAACAACAGCCTCGAACCATCTTCCGACCAGGACATACAGCTGGGAACTGCAGTGAGTTCCACGAACCCTATGGGCCCGAAGGTCGTTACTTGGTCGAAGAAGAAGACGGTAGCATCAGCAGAAGCACTGGCCACCACCTGTCCATCGTGTGTGACAGCAATGGCATTCACCGCAGCCTTGTGAGGCTTGAGGACATGACGGAGATCCCAAGACGTGGCAGAGCACGAGAGGACACGAACAACCCCGTCAGCGAAGCCGGAAATTACAGTCCTGCCCGACGACTCCACATGTTTGGGAAGCCAGGAGAGGGTGGTCACGGCAGCATTGAAGCGGCGGGAGTGCAGATGAGTCTTCCTTCGGTAGTCAAACAACCGTATAGTTCCATCCGAGCCACCTGTGACCGCATGATGGCTTATGGGAGAGCAATCAATGGCAGAGATCGAGCCCATGTGGAAGTCCAGCAGCTTGATGGGTCTGTAGGTTGGCAGCTGCACCCTCAACAGACTTCCTCCCTCGTCCTGAATCAGCCAATGGTCCGGTTCCCGCAGCAGAGACTTGATCCTCACACCTGCTCCGATGCATATCTCCTCAACCGGTTCGATCTCCACCGTTGATTTCTCATCAATCGTATCCGCAGCGTCGATCGCTTCAAAGCTCCAAAACTTTACGTACCCATCCACTCCTGCCGTGACGATCTGCCCCATATCCCGATCCAGGAACACCTCCTCAATCATGCCTTGGTGGCAAGGTACACCCTCTGGCTTCCTGATTTCACACTTGATGAGCCCCCCATCCCACATCAGCAAGCTGCCGGATTCTGTTCCCGATAAGACTTTTCCATCCGGCAGCTCGGCATATCCGGCCACGTCACTTAACGGCGTTTGACCAAACTTGCCGATCTCTCCCTGCAGTTTCAGCCCCGTGAACGTCAATGCCATCTTCCAGAACCGGATGTGTCCAGTGCCGCTGGTTATCAACTGACCCGGAAAGAACTCCGAGAAGGAGATGCGAAATACCTCTTGTGAGAAAGCCTTAGATCGCAGGATGATCTTCTCTGCCTCCCAATTCCACAACGTGAGCCAGAAATCTGGAAACGATCCAACCGTCGCTAGCTTCAGGCCATCCGAGCTGAAAAGCGCTGTACTGTACGCATTCTCTGTCCCCCCTTTCAGCACTTTGTACAGCCTGAGAGAGGGGTACTCGTACACGTAAACATTCGGAGAAACGCCCTTCTCGCACACCGCAAAGAACCTTTGTGACGGATGGACTGCCACCGCACCTATTCCCTTCCCATCCAGGCCCCACAAGTAACTCTGCTCCATCGTCTTAAGGTCGAGGGTCTGCACAGTATTACCACAGACGTGGATGATCAGATGATCAGCAATGTACTGGATATTGGAGCGACGAGAACCTTCGAATCCGAAGCAATGATGGAGGGTCGCAGTGTTGAAAGGCAGCTGCTTGGGACCTTCCTTAGCTCGAAACTTCTCCGGGTCGTAGAAGTTTATGAATCGGTCGCCGACAAACATCGTGTGTAACAGACTTTCCCGCCGGCCTACGGCATCCATAGTGGAATTAAGAATAGCATCAATATCTGCCAGAGCTTGTCTATCGACAAAGTCACCCCAGTCGTCTTCCTCAAGGCCAGCAGATAAGGAGTCAGCAGTGTCATCGGTATCCGCGATAGCCACATCGTCACATAGGGAGTCAAGAGTGCCATCGATATCCGCCATAGCCAGACTCTCGTCAAAACTTGCTTCAGGTGTTCCTCTTTCCTCTCCATCGCCAATTGTACCTTCTCGTTCCTCTGTTTGTCCTTCATCACTGGCAACGTCTGTTGATTTCACAGCACTCTCGCTGCCACTCGCACCACCCTTGCTGTCCATACTCCCACGCCTCGATGCCATACTCGCTCGCAACGACGAAGAGCAGTTAAGGTCCTGTTTCTCTCACGAAGCTCAGCTCAAGTCTAATACCCCCCCCTTCCTCCTCCTCTTCCTCTTCCTCTTCTTCCCACCTGTTTATCCTCCTCCTTCATCTTCTCCTCCTACTCCCACTCCTCCTACTTCACTCCTCCTTCTCCCAATCCTCCTTCTCCTTCCCTTCTTTTGACCTCCTCCACCTCCTCCTCTTCTTTAGCCCCTTCCCTTTGTCATACGGACTCGTACGTTTCTTATCATTACTGATTAAACTTGCAATACGATGGATGACGGCTTCGAACCAAGCAACACCAATATACTCCTGCCCTAGCCAAGGGTTCTGAAAAGCATTTGTTCTCCTCCTCTTTCTCCTCCTCCTCTTCCTCCTCCTCCTCTTTCTCCTCCTCCTCCTCCTCCTCCTCCTCCTCCTCCTCCTCCTCCT